CAGTTTCCATCTAAGACATCGAATACCCACAGCTTCTGCTCAGCGAGAGAGTAATACATCAGTTTGTCGACTGATAGTTCGGGCTGGGTTCTACACACCAGTGCATTTCAGTGTATTAGCAATGTGGTTTGTGATGGTACTGTATTGACTGATTTGAATAGCGAATTAGGCCAGTGTTCTTCAATGCGAATCGATTGGTGCCTTTTCCTTTTACACAAGTGTGTGTTCCTACACGTACATTTAGATTTACTAACAGGTTGAGCAGGTTAGAAAGACAGTCTATCCTTCACAGGTGGCCTGAAGGGGAAATGCATCCTGAAGTGGACACGGATGTGTTCGTCGTCTTCTCTGAGTTTTAAGTGGATTTCTGTTTTCGTCACTGAGGGTGTTCCTGTCTTCCGCTAGACGGTAGTAAAGAGTTTTTTGTATGCTGCTATCGAACCATATCGTGAACTTGATATTCCGTCGATGCGTTTGTTCTTGGCACTGTGGCTTTCAAACGTCGATCAACGAACTAAAGACGTCTTATATTCACCGTCATCATCGCCAACGCACCATCATCGTTCAGCACTGATGCTCTGCTGCCGTTCAACGATGATTTATTTGAAAGCCTTGTTGTGAAGGAAAGAGTAAAAATGGGTGCGGAAGAGACGAAGCGACAGCCCACTACAATCATTCCGAGATGTCTGTACTTCCAGATACTAATTCAAACAATCTAGATAGAAACCGACAAGGTGAATGCGATTCACGTCGACTGACAGCCACATCTTGGAGCTCCTCCAACTAGGCACAGTCAGGATCACGCGGTCCTCATACGCCTTTGAATATTCACCCGCCTTCAGTCAGACATTAACATCATGACGAACCCAATTCTCCAGGTTACAGTTTCCAGTATCTTTCAGTGGGTTAAAGAATGCGTTTCCAAAAACTGCATATCCTACAGATGGTTCAGTGGTTATAGTGCGAATTTACTGACCGGAAGATCCGTGTTTTAAACTCGACCTCTGTCTCCTGACTTCCCCTGTCTAGGCTTGGGCAACGTGGCAGTATCCCAGTCGGGTCTCCAGCAAAAACTTGGTCTTATCGGAGATTCATTGCTTAGATAAGGTTTGCTGGGTTGCGCCGCAAACAGACACTCTGGCTTTGAGCAGCGCTTTGGATATTTCTCCCCTTGGCCGTTTATATCTGACACCGTATCTTTCGGCAGGCATTTGAGGAGCTGGTTCTGATATTTTCGTTCAACTGCTGGGTCCACTGGCTTCTCAATGGCTGAGCGAGGTATGTGTGATTTGCGTACACCTGAAACGCGCAATGAAAATCAGCAACGTACAAGTGCATCGACGGAGTCCACGATGGTGTTCCAGAAGGAGCGGCAGTCGGCGATCGACCCTCGCCACCGATAGCTGATGGCAGTGTGGCCTATTTAGATTCGGGGCTGGTTTGTTGTCAAGGGATTTCCGCCGTTCCGGAAATTCGTACTGCAAAGGAACAGTCTGAGTTGGCACACATCTGGAGTAAGCGGTCTCCGTTGTCCGTGGGCCTCGTGTCCAAACCCAGTCGGGCCTCAGCAGCGCTTAGTCTACCTACCTGGAC